GGAGCCCGGTGCGGTTTCTGCTTACCCATGGGAGCGCTGGTGTTTCGTAGGGTCACGGTAGGATGTGTGTAGTTCTTGCGAATAAAGGGGTCTGTTTGACACCGTGCTTTTTTACGTCTGCCTCCCTTTTAGATCCGGAAACTCAGAGTTTAAAAGAACACCTCATTGATCAGCTAGATTACATATTGGTTCCCACCGAAGCCTGGAACAAACTGCTGGCATGGTATGGCTGCATAGATGGGCAGCAGCCTATCGAGAGAAAAGTAAGTATGGGTGAACCCAGTTCTCTTCAGCCTGCTTTTATTATCTGATCTCTGCCAAACTTCGATGGCGTTTATTTTGCTAGATGTGAGTTAAGACAGGATCCATAGCAGCTCTTTAGAGATAATAAAATGAGGTCTTTTTACCTTATTGTCTGAAAGAATGACCTTCTGATATTATAGTTAAAATGCCTGAATGTTCAGTGATTCTCAGTTGGTGGGTGAGAAGCCTGAATGTTGTTAGGGTTAACTTTTTACATTATGATTGTTTGGACCAGTGCGATGCTTTTATGGTACACGGAATAGTTTGTGCTGTGTTGCAGAATGCAAGTTGTTAGTCAGGCTCGTTGATCTTCTGGGACAGAATGAGGCATTGGAATAAATTGTTTTTTAGTACAGATGGCTTCAAGACTTCCTCTGGAGTTTAAGGTGGTTCTTGTTTTCTCTTCCCAAATTCTATGATTGTTCTCTTCCAAAATTCTAAAGTCATGAGGAGAGACATGTTTGTGATTTTGTTCTGTAAGTCTTATTTTTGTTTGGCAAATGCAGTCATGAATGCATTCTGAGTATATAACCTGTGAAATTCGCAAGTTGCTTTTTTGGAAATCTCTCAGATGCTTGTTTAAGGGTAAAAGGGTTTTTGTTTTTACTTTAGTATTAAGTTTTTGCACTGACTAAATTGAGCAGTGCCAGTCTGTAGGGTTCATAAAGACAGATCGCCACACCAAGCAGCTAGTGTTGATATAATGTACAGAATTAATATTGCTCAAGTTAAGAAGCATCGTTTTACAGTAAGGATTGCTTCAAGGTGTGCAAGACCCAGGAAAGTGTGGCAGCAGAATGGTACAAGGAACTAAGATTGCTCTCTTGCAGGCTCGCTTGTGCTGATCAGTGGTACTGGAACGTTGTCATTCCGTGTGGGCTAGAAATTGCATGTAACGAGAAATTCTGACAGAAAGTGTAAATGTTCCTGGGTTCACTCTGTTGAGTAGGCAGAACCCTCATGTAAACCGAAAGTGGGTGGAGTGGAACAGAATTAAAGCATGTAAAGGAGATGTGGTTTTAGTAGAAACAGGTAATTTCTTGAGGAATAGAAAATCTATATTGAGAAGAAAAACTAGAACAGTTACTGATCCGTGCCTCTCTGAGTGAGGAAGCTGTTGTTTGTGAACTGGCTAACTGGGTTCACCAAGCCTGGCATGTTACAAGACGCTTCCTTTTCTGAAAAACTTGCAAGCTGGACAAGAGATTTGGAAGCTGTTGGGGAAGCTCTTGGGTGACAGGCTTAACTGTACGAGTCTCCTTTTCCTGGGGTATCAGGTGCCACTGTTCAATACCGTAATTATTGAGGGGTAAAGCTTAGAGCCAGTGCCATCTTACAGACAAGATGCCAAGTTCTTGTGGTCCAGCTAAGAGAAAATTTTTAAAGTTTTGAATTGCTATGAGAGTTTCTCTCTGTTGTTTATTGTTAACCTGATAATTGAAGTGGATTTTTATATTTTAAACCATGTTGAAATATAGCAGAATATGAGGTTTGCAGGATGTTACAGCCTCTTACAAAGACTGTAAAGTGAAAGGTCAGTGGGACACGTAAGCCACAGCCCTGCACCTGAGTAGAACGTGGTCAGTATCTGCTTACAGCGTCCTCCAGATAGCACTGGAAGTAAAGCACTTAAACTTGTGGTCCTTGAATGCTTTAATCCTTTTCCTAAAACTGGATCAGCTGAAACTCAGACATCAAAATATCCGTAAAGGTAGGATTTGGGAAGTAATTTTCAGGCATCTTTGTAATTTTATAAGCTGGTATTTCTTCCATCCCTATGTGCCTGATGATCAGGGACAAGTACAGGAGGATTAGATTAGATGTATTTGTGGTTCAGATTTCTTTTGATAAACTCAAACCATATTTTTAAGCAGTCTTCTGTGGAGTCCCACTGCAAAGTGTATTAATGTGCAAAATACAGAACGGTGTGCTTCCTCAGTGGTGATTGCTGTCCGACGGGATGACCCGAGTTTTACTTTGACAGAGAACAAGCCGGCTGATCAGACGCTGTTTAAAAGGCATCTGCAGGCAATTAGGGACTCTGCTTGCCATTCGTGCATCCTAATGGACACTGTGATCTGATCAGAAACTTCTTGGAAAGAGTTCTTCCGTTTCTGAATGTGGCTCTTCTTTGTTTGCTTCTAACTGTAGAATTCTGGAGAACAGCAAGTCCCATTTAATGAAATTCATTCTGAAAAAGAAATAGAGAACTTGTCAATTTATTCCTTTGCATACCTTTAAAAAAAAAAATGTCTAATTTGCCTATCACAAAGCTATTTAAACAGGTGTTTTACTTTATATTTCTGTTGTAGCAGCAAAATAGTGAAGATCTTTCCAAATGTGTTTGTTAATTATTTACCTTTAAAGCACCTTGCATGCCTGATACAAACCTATAAAAGCTCAGAAGAGGGGAGCATAATTTAGCCAAATTCTCACAATAAGTCTTAGTGTTATTTCTTTATTTCTTTCCAAAGCTGGGTAAAGTTTTTTCTGTAAAATGATACAGATGTAGATCATCGCAAGTCTGGTGTCACGCAAATAGAATGGAATAGAATAGAATATTTCAGTTGGGAAGGACCCACAACGATCATCCAGTCCAGCTGGCTGACCGCTTCAGGGCTGACTGAAAGTTAAAGGAAATTAAGGGCATTGTCCAAATGCCTCTTAAACACTGTTAATTTTAAAAACTATATCTGCTGGTTCAATGAAATATTATCTCAATTTCATAGACTTTATAGTTGCAAAGAACTGTGGAGAGACATGAGGTGTGTTTTGGTTTTTCCTCCAGTTACAACACAGTTGTCTCATAACTGGCCTTCGAAATGTGCTTTTCTTTCTGGTGTAGTGTGTTCTATGATCCGCAGGTGAAGAGTGGTGTCTAGTCTTACAGAGTACCTTTCTAAAAACATGGTGAAAGCCATTGGGATGGATAGAGGTGCCTATTGGAGTGTTCTCTCAAATGTGAAATTGATTTGAAAATGACTCTGAAATAAAGCAATGCCATCAAAATGAGTTCTGACATATTTGTCTGTCTTTGCAAGGAGAGAGTCGTGAGGGAGATTCTGTAGACAGTGCTGAAAAATAATTAATGCTTGATCTTACTTTCTTCTGATAGAAAGGATTTTGCTCCAGTGCTCCAGGCTTGTTTCTATTTTTTGGTGTAAACCTTAGCCAAAGATAATTTTTTTTTTCCTAGAATGCTTTTGACTGTGCAGTCAAGTATTTTTCATGGATAACTAGCTGATGCTATCAGTTCAGCTGTGATGACAGACGTTTGGAACTTTGTACTGTGGAAGGAAAGCACTGGGATTTCTTATATTTTAAAAACAAAACCCTCAAACAGCCTAACAGAGGTTGCGTCTGAATCTGGACTTGACTCGCAAGACTTGGGAAGACTTAAAATATTTGGACAAATGTACCTTACAGAGGGCTGCTCAGTATTTTAACTGTGTTATTTTGTTTATTGCCTCTGCCTTCTGTTTGCAGGTAGTGGAATATGGTCCGTTTGTGAAGCACTATGAAGTTGAAGTTTATCTTCTTGAGCTCAAGCTGTGCGAGATCACCGATCTTGACAACGTGATTAGCTGCCACTTCAGCAAAGCAGATACTCTTGGTAAGTAGTTCTCTGATACATGAAGCTGTGCTCTGATGCTACCTCGAGATGTTTTGTCCCTCCAGAACAAGAACGATGTTGATAAAGTGTAGGGAGTTTAGTGGGTACCAACAGGACCAGTTGAGGTTGGAACTTGTGATGTGTGAGAAGCAGCTGAGGGAGCTGCGTTTAGCGTGGAGAAGAGAAGGCTTTGGGGGTGACCTCATAGCACCTGTGAGGAGGTTACTGAGAATGTGGAGCTGGGCTCTTTACCGAGAAAACAACAGACCCTAGTCAGAAATTGAAACAGGACAGATGGCAACTAAATATAATGAAATGAAAACATTTTCCCTGTTACAACAGCTAGACATTTGAACAGGGCCTGGAGGGTGGGGAATCTCCTGCCTTATGAGTTTGCATTGACCCTCTTTGAGTGGTTGGGCTAGGAACCTCCTGAGTTTCTTCCAGCCACAGTTACCCTGTGTGCAACATGGGGAGTTGTGGTTGAGAGCTTTGAGGAACACAGTGCTTACTAACTCATACCTTTAAGAAACATCCGTGTCACTCACGTAAAGCAGTTCTGTCTCTGGTTCTCCTATGATTCCTTCTTCCTAGAGTGTGAATGTTTTAGACATTTTAATGTCTCTTCCTACTCTTTTGTTCTTCCTGAAATGTGGCCCATCTCTTTCTTTCTGTCTATATCATCGCTGTGTTTTCCCATGTAAAAATGCTGAATGTCAGCTGTCATATATGACCACAAAGATGCTTTTTTTTTTTTACTTCGCTGAGGTATGGCCTGACAATAATAACTGAAAACACTTCCTTCTTGAACCTGTGTTTTCAAATGATGACTTGTACAGAAGTTGGGCTTTGGGCAGAAGCTTCTCAATGTGTTCTGAACATTATTGATTTGAAGGCTTGACAGGCAAAGACATGACTGAAAGCAGAAGTTTTTCATTCTTTCAGACTAAATATTAGACAAGCTATGTGAGCAATTAAAACTTCCGTGATATATTTTCTACTCAAAGGGTCTTGAAGGACCAATGATATATCTCTTTGCTGAATGTCTGGCTTCAGTTTTTTCTTGAAAGCACTCATGTTTTAGGAATGATCGTGTTTTTTTTCCTCCTGAAACAGCTACTGTCGAGAAAGAAATGAGAAAACTATTTAATATCC